TCTCATTCGCTAAAAAGAGGCTTACGACTTTTTGCGTCACCGCGCCACGCTCGAGCGAGGGTGTTTTGTAAACACGGCCACTTCATACAGTGATTTACGGCCTAGGCATTGATGTTTCGTGGAATTAATCACCTTTGTCGTGTTTCATTTGCAAAGCTGATTCTAATAGTGCACGAATTGTGCAATCGGGGTAGAATTGAATTTATGATTTTGAAAATGTGTTTGTCCTTTGTTTTTGTTGCGCTGTGAGCGGATTTGCATTTTGCATATATATTTGATGGCCTTTTTGTTGTGTGTACATGAACTGTCGTTTATGATGGTTGGTTATCAGCTGAACTGTGCTGATAAACACAGAGAAGGCCAATCTATTTAAGGCTCCCTAAAATAGATTGGCCATGAAATAGAGCAGGACTTGTAGACCACAGAACCGTGTTGGTATGGAAATAAGGATAACCTAGAACATTGATTTTTTCTAAAGACTGTAATGGCTGCTTCTTACAATAACTTTATCGCTGGCGACATTGCAATAAAGGCTGCTGTAAAAGACATTTTGTTTTTTTGAATTGATCTGTTTAAAGGTCGGGAACGAAGACGATTTTGGGTACATCTTAAATTCGAAAAACAAAAAAACCAAATTTTTGAAAGTAACTTACAGTACTGTAAAATTTTATGAAATCATCATTTAAATGGAGGCAAAAGTTTTCGTGATGATATTTTTATTGCGAAAATTATCAAAGTTGTGTCGAATTCCATTAAAAATTCTTGGTTTTTTCTATCACCTGAAAATCTGACGAATACCTTAGAAAGCGTACATATACCCTAACTTGTAACAAAAACCGGTGATTTTGTGTACCCATAAATATTCCCAAGTTTGAACTTCCGGGATTTATACATCCTCCAAGCCTGGAAATATAATACAAACTGTGTGCCGAATCCTCCCTCTTTCCGGTCCCCGGCGAAGTGATCTAGGATCTCGCGGACTCGGCGATATGAACACAACATTTCCCAATTATACTCCTTCCCTTTGTCTTTCGACCGTTTTGCTTTCCCCTGAGAAGCGGGCGGTATTGTCCTTTAAGCTTAATCCCCAATTAAATCCATCCTCGGCCATTCATACCGTTTTTCCAATGTTTTGACCAAAGAATTTGCAGGGATTAGGCCTCCGGGAAAAACAGCCCCTCAGGCTTAAAATGGGATGTTGTGTTGGGAGGCTTCTTTAATTGATAGTGCGGGTCTTCAGCGCCTCCGATAAGCAGGGCCTAATCCACTCGGATTTTCCTATAATTGAGTTAAGCGGATTGTTTATAAATACACACTCAGCTGCTGATCTGTACCCACACGAATGCAACGAATGTACCCAACACCACGAGGGAGCTTAATTTGTTTTTCTTGAGTATAAAAATTTCGCTGACATTACAAAGATCTTGCAATATGAGGAAAATTTTATAGCGTTGTCAATGTCAAAGTGATCGCGGCAGATCTCGATGTAACACGTCACAGCGACCAGTCTTAGTAAGGAAATCCACTGCGTGCGATAGTTTTTTTGCATACGGAATTAATGGAGCCCAGAAAAAAACTTTTCTGCGCAGATACAATACGTGACATTACAAGACGGGTACATTGGGAAAAACAAATTCTTTGATTTATGTGGAAATCCATTTCCGTATTGTAGCCGGATTTCGCGGTCTGGCTGGCGCGAGTAATTAGCAACATGGGGCTTATGTACTTCTGCCTACAATGGGTCTGAAGATTGTATAAAACATTGTGTAAACTGGGGTTGAAGATGTGAGGATTCGTTTGCTTAGCATTTGGGATTGTAGCAAATGGAAGTTGGCATGTGACTGGGTCTTCTGAAGGACTTGGAAAACAGGTTTTTTTCGTTTTAAAAATGGGCCTAACGTATAGCCAATAGACGTAAAATTTGATAGTAAAATTTTTCACGGCAGCTAAAACAAATGATTGCTCCTTGGGAAGAACGGAACTTGGCTCTTTTAATAAGGTGTTTTTCTTGCCGAAAACGATCCCGAAGACCTGTTGGGCACTGGTTTCAAAAATACCAGTCCTTTATTGACTCTCTGCCATTTTGATATAGCATATGACAAAATCAAAATTCAAGCTTTTTTGACCTTCTTGTCGGTTGCGGCAAGTTTTGCTTGCAGTTCGTAAATTTTTTGGTCATAAATGAGATCAAGGTCTCTTTACACTTTTTCTACAGTTAGGACAGACGTATCTTACAGCTTTTTTTACCACTCAAAGAGTGATTACTGAGCCATCGCTAAACGAAGTCGAATCCCTAAACTTTTACCCTTTTCAACTCCCCTTTCAACTCTCTCAATCAGCTACCGTCAAAAAGCGAGCGCAGGGTTTTTCTAATAGTTCCACCGACGGAATCTAAATTTAGCAACCGCGACGATGATTTGATTACCCAGGCGTAAAGCAGACCTAATTCAAGTCCCACAACTTTAGCGATGATTTTAACGCCACTTCTCAATCACTCTTCAACTCTATTCGATTTGGCTGCAGCCTTGGTTGAAGGAAAAATGATGACCTCTTCGCCGGAAGGAAATGATTGCAAAAACTTGTAAATGGCCGATTAAACTTTTCGAGAACGGAAGTAAATTCCCGGATCACGAGGCAGCAAAATAGGGCAATGATTTCGTCAAGGCATAAACCAGCAAGTCAGAACGGTGTTTTCTGCCTCGAGAAATCGGATTTGAATGATTTTGCAGATTAAAGTTGCGTTAGGAGGCAAAACCTGACCTTTTTTTACCGAACTTAATTTAAAAAATTGTATGAAATTTCACAAGATTTTTTTTCAAAATTTGAAAAAAATAGTAAAATTCTTGCACCGAAAGAAAGCTTTTTTAATGAAAATAAAAACCGCTTAGTCAGCTGTAATTTTACAATCTTTTGGGGCTCTGTTTTATCATTATTCGGCAACGTGATAAGTCCCGCAATCACGAGAAGATTACACCGCATGGGTAATTAAATTCTTCCCAGCTCACAGTAATATTTTTTTTGGTTCTGATTTGTTGTACCTGTGACTTTTCGCAATTTTTTTGCCTTCCAATTAAAGCCTTGTTTTAGTTTTTGTTTCGATTTATCGAGGGCTTTTTTGCCGAGTTCTTGAAATCTTCAAAAGATTTCAAATTCAATTCTCAAGATGCTATGTTTTTATACCTCCAAAAATTTTTAAAAATATATTATTTTACTTTACTATTGAGCGTATCCTGTACGCCAGTTTCCCCCTCCCTCTATCCCTCCTCTTTTCCCGCACTCTTTCTGCATCCCGATGGGCGGAGCCAAGCGGGAAAAAAGGGCCAATCGGCGCGATGCGGCAATGTTTCTGGCGCCGCCCATTTCGTCTTTTTGTTGTCAAATTTGTATCCCCATTATTTATTTTTTCTTATTCGAATATTTTGCCCGCAACGGGGCCCGAAAAGAACCTTTGTTTGGGATTAGAATGACCGGAGGGGCGGGGCGTGGGGCGCAGATTTTGGTTTTTTGAATCCGCGATATTATAAATAGTTTCCGCGGCCTCGAACCCGGCGCTTCAGTTTCGTACGTGCACGCCGTCGGTGGCAGCGCGCAGTCTTCGTATCGGAGACTGTTTGGGTTTGGGAAAACATATGGTATCCTACTTTAAACTTACTTTACTTGGCAAAAACTAACTTAACTTTTTTCTATCATATCTCGTATGACTTCTAGAACACTCCCTAGACCTATTTATTCTTTTCAAATACTACTTCTAACCTCCAGTTAGCCAAAGCCAAGACTTTTCCCATTCTGGGTCAAGTCTTCCTCTCATCGAAAGACTTGGCTCAACCTTGTTTTCAACCCTTCCCCGGTTCGGTTTAGGTTGTAATATGAACTATTTTGAGCGCCAATATCACAGGACACAGCCCGAGAATGACTTACACGCAAACCATGCGGAACTCCAAGTGCATTTATTTTTAACCGGTTTCAATTTCGGCTACTGTACTTTTTCACCGCTTCTTTTCCGAATTCGGTTTACACCGTCCGGAAACCCGAGGCGGGGTCATTATTCTACGCCATCCTTTTATTAAATCAATTTGTCAGAGCATGCGTTTCCGGTCATAAAATAGAGGATGAGTGTCATGTGTAGGGTGATATATTTCCGTCATATCTATCTGCTCGTGTTACGCATTTCTATTGTGTTTCGAGTATTTTACACCCAATTTCACGGTTCGTTAGAGACCGTCGAAGATTTTACGCAACTTTTAAAAGTAGGGCTTTTAATCACAGATGTAAATAAAGTTTGTGTTTTTAAAGGTGAACCAATTTACTTTTCGCTGACAAATCATGCATAAAAAATTTGCTGAAGACGACAAAATGGTTCGACGGTAACTAATTTTACAATTAAGGTTATTTTTGCTACTAAAATTGTGCTCCGTTTTTTGTACCCTTTCCCGAGATTTTCTCCGCCAACGCTTCCAAGGGGCATTATAATTCTGCCACAATTTCTATTTTCCTCCACTTCCTGTAGCTTGCAAACACATCATACAGAGAGCTGTGGCTATTTTTACTCTACATTTGCTATGCTAATCCCACCTCCATTTCGGTTTATAAAATCATTTTGCGTCTAATCCGCTCGTTTTCCATTCAATAAACGCTGTAGCGTGCCGTGGCGGAGATTTCCAAAGGTTCGACAATTCCCGTTGTTCCGTACCAGCCGGATTACATGCGATTAGGCGTTTTTTCTCCAGATTCTGAATCAAATTTTTATATCAAACTTTTGTTTGAGGCTCGAATGAATTCCGTGAATTTTTAATTTTTTTAACGCGACCGGAAAGGTTGATTTTTCACTCGGATTTTAATTAAAATTTGTAATTTCCAGACTGATTTTGTGTGGATGCCATTTTAAGCTGCAGCTGGCACGCCAATTCGTCAACCAGAACACTTGTTGTTATCCTTGGGCTTTATAAGTTCCAACGATCCCTGTTAAAGACTCGCTCCAAAGACCTCAAACCCTCTGCAGAATGTGGACACAAACGGTGTGCCGAGTTCTGGCGTCGTTAACTCTTGCCCTGCTCAATTTCACAGTGAGTTTTCTTCGACTTTTTTTTGGTCTTATCATCAGCTCATCTCGACCTAGAATAGAGTAATTTTGGGCTAAAAATTTGAGATTTAGAAAGCATTATATTTGAAATTTCCTCGCTTTATTTTGAAACCCCTTTGCTTACAAATTACGACCACACAAAACTGCGAAACAAATTACAATTTACGACCGTACTGGGGCGCCAAATCCTCTCCAAATGTTGCCGTCATTTCCCCACAAAAAAAAATTAAATTTCGTCTGGCGCGATTTGTTTTTCCGTTATCCGTGGATGATCCTATTAGAATTCGCAACTTCGAACAAGGCCCTTATCCCGCGCCGATCTAATCCCGATTTCCGTGGGGCGCTTTTGGGAAAATTAAATAATTTGGGTTTAAAAAATTTTAAAAAAATATCCATAAAAACCTCAAGTACCCTCAGAACGTCGTGTACTCTTTGGCCTGATAATTTATTCCTTCTTGTACAATTAGTATTCTTATGGGGGAAAAAATCGGAGAAACCGGCTCTAATTATGATAATCTGTCAGCGTTCAATTAGCGATTGTTTTTTTCCGAAACTTGAAACATTGATTATACAGAGGAGGATATTATTATGAAGCCCGAATACTCAATTTTTTCCTAATGGGAGAGGCGTTAATAAGCACCGTATACCTTCGGGATTAGGGTAATTCAGGGGTTTGCAATGCCATAGATTTGAAAAAAAATTAAAATAATTTTGGATTAGCAGCTGAAACGGTAGCAACGATTACCTGTCATTTATTTTTCCATTAATTTATAGTTTTGGACGCAAAAAATGTCAATATTTTTTAAGCACTCTCTTTGCTAAATTACTGTATCGCTAAGAGCCTTTTCTGAATTTACGACCGCATCATGACGCCTAATCTCTCCGTTCATGTAAACAATTTTACGGCCAACTCTATTCGACCCTGCCCTAAAACTTTGCGATTGTTTTTTGTCTCGCTTCACGGCCATCTTTGCTAATGATTCCAGTCGTAAAAAAGTGCCAATACCTTTGCTTTTTTCGCCGCGTTTTCAGCCAAGACGGGACGAGTACAAAAGGTATTAATACCCGTACAAAAAACCGTATATTCCATCGAAAATACGCCTCCTTGTTGGCTTAAGGGAAATACAATTAGTCAGCGGTTCAACTCGATTTTTGCAGAAAAAAAGTCGACTACGTAGAGGACTAGAACCGAACACAATTCGGCCCCAAATACAATGCCATTTCCTTGTTAAATTGAATTGTAGCGAGTGGACTGACTTTACGCACTTTTGAGTTTACCTTGTAATACATATCTAAAAGTGTAATACATATCTAGAATTGTAACGATATGCATATAATATTTAGTTTAGTGGAGGGTCGTAACGCCAGAGAATGTCTTTTAGTTGAGTGAAGAGTTGTTGAAGGGATTAAAATAAAAAAATTTATAGTCATTTTTTTGAACTAAAACCTTTCGAAATTCCACAACCGAAAGTACAAACGTCTTTCAATTTAGTGTAAAGTTTCCGAAAGAGATGTTGGCTACAAAAGACCGACTAAGTCTGGGATACATAATATTTATCCTAACCTTTTTGTTCTACAAAATAATTGTATACAACCATTTTCAGACGATAACTGCCTCCCACTCAAAAGCACGACTAAATGTTTACTTCGAACCTCAGAACATGGAGAGCACTCGGTTCTTCAAATCACAACTCCTACCGCTTTACGAGAACACAGAGCTCGGGGATCGAGTGGAACTCCGGTTGGTGCCTCATGGCCGAGCGCACTGCGATAATGTGGAAAAGGATTATGTGTAAGTTCATTTCACAGTTTTGTCTTCTACATCATCGAGTCTTTTATTAACTTTTCTTTTTTAGTATTTCTCCGTCTTTCATATTTTAATAGGTCATCTGGCTGGGAATCCAAAAATAGCAGATTTTCACCATCAACCAGGCTGTAGATCATGTCTCCGACATTTGCCTATCGCAAATTAGCCTTTTATGACACTATTTTACACCCATCGATCATCCACATAATAACTAACTCATCATTTATCTTTCATTTGCCGCATAGCTAATGTAATCCAATAGTGGGCTGTTTAATGGCATCACTTAATTTCTTCGCTAAAAATCTATGCTACACTATTAAAGTGGACCCAATTCTAACCGACTCTGTTTTCAGATGCTCTTGCCCTCATGGTGACGACGAATGCGAGCTAATGTACCTGATGTCCTGCATTCTGCACGACTTCCGGCATCACGGTCACGCGGTGGACACAATCGCCTGCATTCAAGGCCAATCCTCAATGCAAAGCGCCCTGGACGAATGCATTGTGCCGCTGAGGCCGAAGCAGCGCAAATGGTACGGCGAATGCTCGAATACGTTCCGCGGACACTACTTATCGTGGCTTCAAGGCCTGCGAACAAATGCCCTCGGCATGCCCTTGTCGAATGTGCCGTTCCTCGTGCTGGACGGGCATGTGAACGATATTGCCATTGAGAACCTACAAAGCGAGATCTGCGCGGTGTTAGCGCATCCCAAGCCGGCGGTTTGCGAGTGAATTTGCCGGTCTCGTAACTGAGGTTCTCCTAGATTTTCCAACGTATCTCCTGACTTGACAACGACTTTGGAGGCTTTGAAACCGAGTTATATTCAATTATCTTGCATATCACTAATTTCCAAAGCCTCTAGGGTCTTGTAAAGTTTGTATTTCTGTATTTATTAGTCCATCCCATCCACATATTGTCCATTCTTGTCATAGTTAGTCCATGTTTCCTCCCTCTAGATAGTCAACATCATCTCGCACACCCCTCCAAGATTATTGTATCACATTCGTCTGCTACATCATCTTCCCGCATAATGAGTCCATCCGGAATTCCACCAAACATCATGACTGGTCCAATTTTACTTTTTTTGGCCCTTCTTTTGTTCGAAGCCGGAGTTGCCGACTCGATTTGTCATCTTCCCCCATCTCCTGCCATTTTACACACAACGGTGTAAAACAGGTCTTACACATGCTTGGTGTAGGACAAGAAACTTTGAAATCGTTTGCTTAGGCTTAACTTGTTGTGATCTCTTCCAAAAAATGTTTTTTAGGCAAAATTCGGTTTGATCTCCACGTCTTTGTCTTAATATTATTTTTATTTGATTTTCAAGAGAATTGTTAATTAATATATACAATAAACATAAAATAAAAAACGCAATGGGACATTACTTTATCTGGAAATGAATACATACGCTATGAAGTACGAAAAAAATAATTGAAATCTTTTTCAAATTGTGTATGAGAATACAATTCGTTTTGAAACTTGTAATTGTCATGTCGCAAAGTGAAATGGCACAACATACGTGCTGTTGCCAAGGCAAGGTTTGAAGGATGGATAAGGTCTACTTATCATTTTAACAAAAGGTTTCGGAAAAGTCAAGAGAAATGACAATTTCAATGGTACTTATTGTTAGATTACATTTTTAGACAAGAGAGCTCGCAGTTTGCAGAAGCAATCGAGATTTTTGTACCAGGCGGGCCAGAAAAGTCTTGACATGTTTTTGCACCGTGCGGGCGCATGAATTAGGCGCTGCGACAAGGTGCCGCGCGATAAAAACTTGGCAAGGTGCGAAAGCAGAGCGCACTGTGCGTTGTTTACCCTTTGCAAAACAATCTTTTTGCACCGTGCGGGCGCATGAATTAGGCGTTGCGACAAAGTGTCGCGCGATAAAAACTTGGCAAGGTGCGAAAGCAGAGCGCACTGTGCGTTGTTTACCCTTTTCAAAACAATCTTTTTGCACTGTGCGGGGATCACAGCGCACCGTGAATTTTGCTTATCGCAGCGCGACAAATTTTATGCGCGACGGCGCACTGTGCAGACATGTCAAGACTTTTGGGCCCGCCTTGTCAAACGATCTTTCCACTTTTCGGAAGCGTCTGCAAGCACTTGCTAAAATTTCCATAGTTGTTTTGCAGCACAATCGGATTTTTTCTCAAACCTCGGAGAAATTCCCCGCGTCACCGTTGAGGTAATTCCCAAATTATCTTTAACAAATCTGAATACATACGCAACACTCCCACTGCATGCCGACTACAAACCTAATTCAATTTCTGTCTACAAATTGCAGTGTTTTTTGCAATATTGACATTCGATTTACCCTTAATATTAATCCAAAAAAATGCAAGTCGAATCCGATAAAGGGCATTAAAACTTCTTCGAATCCGATATCCCAAATCCATCAAAAATTTTCCAAGATGAATAGATGTTTTGAATCTTAAAAAAGGTTATGAAACAATGTCGTTGTAACACATTCGAGCGTTCGGCTGCGTATGCAGTTCTATGAATTAGAAAAATTAAAAATTAGAATAGGATGGATTGAAGGATATTTTTGTTTGCTAAATCACAGCTAAAACTTTCAGAATTTGAATGAATTTTCTTGGAAAAGATTAGTTGTGAAGAAAAATCGGCATGCAAATATATCGGCACTTTAAGATGATTAGCGGATATTAAGGAGATAAAGATTTAAATAGGTATTATGAGCTGACAGGAAGCTGCTGATGGAACATTTCTTATAGCCAAGCCTATTATATTGTGTGAAAGACTGAGTTTTCACAAAAAAAATTTTGGGCAAAGTTGGAGAAAGCTTGTCTAAAAAACATTCTTCTCTGGGACTGCTGAATGGATATCGGTAAAACATATGCAAGGATTCACTAGCTCCGCGTTATTATCGAAGGTGTTTTGAAGTGGCACTGTAATTTAAAGAAAGGCTTGGAATTTTTAAAACTTTTTGGGACGGTCATGCCGGAGTTGGACGATTGGGGAAACCGAAAAGTATTTTTTTTCTTCTATTCAAGTGCCGAAATTAGGATAATCGATGGCGCTAATTTCGAAAATGACATTCATTTTTTTGATCGTTACTTTTGAAGTAGTGCTGTAAAGCAGTAATTTTTTGAATTTTTTTCATAAATACTCGATTTAATGTTTTCGTTGGTATTTATGCAAAAAAAATCAAAAAATTACTTCTTTACAGTACTAAATAGTTAAAGAAAAAAGTAACGATCAAAAAAAATGTCATTTTCGAAATCAGCACCCTCGGTTATTAATTTCGACACCTGCATCGAAGGAAAATAACGCTTTTCAGTTTCCCCAATCGTCTTCTTCCCGAATCGTCCCAGCTCCGGCATGACCGTCCAAAAAGTTTTTAAAAATTCCAAGCCTTTCTTTAAATTACAGTATAACTTCAAAACACCTTCGATAATAGCGCCGAGCTAGTGAATCCTTGCATATGTTTTCCCGATATCCATTCAACGGTCCCAATGAAAAATCTATCACGCTCCAAAGTAGGCTTCATCTTGCTTTTGTAACTCTAATCTGCATAATCTTAATCTTCCGTGGAGTCTTTGTTTTCCCCAAAATTCTATGGCCTCCCACCAATAGTTGGACCGAATTTGAGCTCCCCACACAATGTTTACCCAATTTTAATTGCCACGTTTTGCGTTCTTGTACCCAAAAATGGCCCATGCACAGTGCCCTTGAAACGGTTACAATTGAATGGTAAATACCGCCGGCTGTAAAGTTGCATAAAAACCGTTTATTCAATACAGCACGAACAAGTCGAAACACTTGTAGCCGAGATTATAAACAGCTTCAAAATGGTGGAAAAATGTCATGCAATAAACTTATTATAATATTACTACAGCCTGGCCCAACAAAAAAATATGTTGTTGGAACATAGTACAGAGAACGCACAAAAGTCTGTGGGACCATTCACGTTGTGGTTATATCCCATGGGCATAAAAATCAAGTCTTTATGAAGGTACTTCAAAAGAGCAACCACTTCACGACATTGATAAAACCACACACAACAAAAACATTTCTGGCAACAACGTCTAGCACGTGCTTTACAGGTGTAGCTGAGAATGCCAACTTTTCGTCAAAAAAACAGTTTTCCACAGGGTCTATCACTAGTAAGAAGAAGAGAACCACATGATTTTTAACCGCAACCAGAACACCGCACGTCAAACTAACACGGAAAGTACCCCAAGTGCGAAGCTCAGATTTTCCTTAAATTTTGCACACAAGTCGGGTATGGACTAAATATCAATTCCTGAAAGTTTTAGCTCGCGCTCTGCGGGCGTCGCCGAGATATCAAACGATTTTTGCCGCCGAGAGAGCGCGGTAAACGTGGAGAGCGGTCAGAGAGAAAAGCGCTTTTTGGCCATAACTTTGGCAGTTTCGTGCGGAAAAATTTGATTTTTTGTAGAAACATTATCCTTTACGGTTGAAATAGGTATGAAACTTTTTGTGCCGAAATTTGGCGAAAATTGTCAAATTTTCGCCGACTTTCGATCTAAAAATCTCGGTTGTTTCTGCAAAGCGCGAGCTAGGATTCTCGCGTATATTTTAGAAAAAATTACTCTAAATCTGTGCCAAGTTTCATCAAAATCTGAGCGTCGCACTTGGGGTATACTTCCCCTGTAAGATAAACTAAAACAATCCAGTGAATGGATTGGCAATTTGCCAAAAAAAAAGACGGAAAAAACGTTTTGTTGGGGAAGAAATGGGGAATTTTTTGGGTGAGAGAGTACGTTTTTGCGTGTCTTTTTTCTCTCTTTCTCTGCGAAATCAAGACGAAGTGTAAAAAACCGATAACGAAGATTCTATTCGGGAAAATGTTTTTCGCATAGAAATAAAAATGCTTTTTCCTAGAAAACTTATTTTTAGAAAAAATGATTTTTTTCATAGAAAAAAACATTTTTATTTTAGAAAAGAATGGTTTTTCTTTAGAAAGTGTAATTCTTAGTAAATTTGTGGATAATTATAACAAAAATTGAGTTAAAACAGTAATTAGTAGTAAATTTTGTTAAGTAGTAGTGTAAAAAAGTAAGAATATTAACTTTTTGAGTGAGTATTGGGGACTGGGGTATTCGATGGTGTTGATTTCGAAAACATAGTTCGTTTTTTGTGATTTTGACTTTTTTCTTAAGCAGTACTGTAAGTTAGTAACAATTTTGAACTTTTTGATTAATTTTTTAATTGAGTATCCCTTCTGGTTCGTCAGAATTTGTCTGAAGTTATATAAGGGTTAACTCAAGGATGAGCAAGAAATCGATTTCAATTGACATTGACGGCATAAATAATACAAATTATTACTAACTTACAGTACTACTTAAGAAAAAAGTCAAAATTACAAGAAACGAACTATGTTTTCGAAATCAACACCATCGAATACCCCAGTCCCAATACTCACTCAAAAAGTTACTATTCTTACTTTTTTACACTACTACTTAACAAAATTTACTACTAATTACTGTTTTATATCAATTTTTGTTATCATTATACACAAATTTACTAAGAATTACACTTTCTAAAGAAAAACCATTCTTTTCTAAAATAAAAATGTTTTTTTCTATGAAAAAAATCATTTTTTCTAAAAATAAGTTTTCTAGGAAAAAGCATTTTTATTTCTATGCAAAAAACATAGACCCATTCTATTCCGGTCACCGGACTCCTCAGTTTGACGTGCACTGCTTTGGACTAGTGCTATACCTTGTGCAGTTTAAAAAAATAAAAG